ATCCTCTTGTTTACAGTATATTCAATTTTTTTATTGCAAGTGTTGTCATATAAATAGATTACCAAAGACTAGCAGTAGTGTGTGTATATATGTGCCTTGGCCTACTGTAAGTCCTGAGGATGATGACTTGCTTGATGGCTATATAAATGACATGACTCTTATTATTGAATGGAACCCAATTACGCCAATTTGTCGATGACAGTTTTATAAGAATATACTGTACTCTCTTTGCCTAGCTAATCATCTGCTAATAAAGTACATTTTTCGCTAGTCACACACTGTTCTCCTCACATGACAAGCACTAAAAATTGAATATACACAAGAAGATTCATAAGGCCTCCTAACATTTTATATACCGTAATACTGTTTTAAGGGAGGTCTGCATTAAAATTATTGGAAAAATTTGACACAATAGTAATAATCACGAAGGGGAAACTCATTCTCTCGATCTAGGCCTAGATTCTGTACCATAACATTGACGAAGTCTAGCCCTACGAAAAGTTTTGTGCATTCAAATTGTATGAATATTTTGGTCGGATTGTAAAGCGTGGTATTATTTCGAGTATATTAGGCTTCTTGGACTAAAACTTTGGATGTAGGGATTACGAAGTTCAAACGGTATGATCACGGAGGAACTAGGCTAAGTTTATGACTAATATACAGTATGCCACCCAGATCAATGTCACCAGAGCAGCTGCCACGAAAAGCAGAATTCAAGCAAGGCCGAGCAGGCCTTGCTTGCTTAGACTTTTCGCCAAGCGAACTGATTTGAGCAAGGCCTAGAGGCATGCCAAGAGTTTGGTGGAATCAGTCCTTGTTTGATAATGGTTATACCATGGTTATACATAGGCCTAGCTAAGTGAAACTCTTTACTAAGTGGAACCATGCGCCTATTTATCGATGACAGATACTAAGTCAAACAATATTGTACTTCTTGATGTCCTAATTTCCCAGTACTGTACATCGTTCTCGTTTCACTGCTCATCGCAGGGGATCTGCAATGCCAGTCTTGAAAAATGATGTCACGCACATTCTGGCACTTATTTGGTGATGGTGACGTAATGCCATTTACTGTACCTTTAGCAAATTGAAGTAGATATACAGTACCGTATCTCTAGCCACGGCGTTCATGTTGACATTTCTTTATAGTTACTTATTTCCTTTGATTTGGATTCTGTGTTGATTTTCTATGGCTGTTTATTATAAAGAAAGCCTACAAATTCCATCTACATGTTGTTCATAGAGGGCCACATAATGGCCAAGCTCATTTGTAGGTTTCTGATGACTCCAACATATTATAGAAAAACTGTAAATGTTGGTAATTTAAACCAGGAAACACTGAGGTTACCAGTATTAGTGTATAGAAAATACCACAGCACCACGAAATAGCCCCAGGTAACAATCCCACATGGGGCCCATATGCAAAATATCTGGGAAAAGTCTTA